ATGTTTTTGATACCCTAGTAAAATATGTTTTTGATACCCTAGTAAAATATGTTTTTGATACCCTAGTAAAATCTATTCTTGATACCCTAGTAAAATCTATTTTTGTGTACATTTTTTCATGAACACAATAACTGGACATTTATTTATTTATTTATTGCTCCAGTGCATTTTAAATACGAAAATTACTTATTTTATACAAAATTACGCGAAAAACAGTCGAGAGGATTAAATGCGAATTAGGGGAATCAAGAGATAGACCCTTACACTCCCTCAGATCCGTCCGTATCCGATAAAATTTAATATTCACCTTAACCTTTCTTTTATAGTGACAAAAACTATAAAGGTACGACTAAAGTCCTTTTTATACGATAAAGTGTAGCAAGTGAACTAAAACCTCGCCCAAACTGTCGAAGTTCATTGTACGTAAATATCTTAATAAACCCTACGAGTTCACACATCTAAGCATGCAGATAAATAAGGAACCATTTTTTAGACAAAAACCGTTTTATATTCAGGGATTTAAAAGAAAACATATCAAAGTAAAAAGTTTAAATTGTTGGTAATACTCATAAATTAGTAGTTATCGGACCCGTTGAGCGGAATGCTGCCAGAGGGCGACACACGTGTGTCGACCTCAAGAGACGACGATATCGTAGTGCCACTCACGAGAGACGATGACGTATGACGTAGATCAACATGACATTATAGTAAGAAAGTCTTAAAATCAATAAATTAATCTAACATTGTTTTACAGTTTCGCTTTATAAGTAAAACATTAAAAACGTTTTACAAAGACAGACAGTGTAACTAATGATGGAAGATGTTGAGCTCATCGTAGTGTGTCTAGATTTAGTTATGTGTCCTAAAAGTTACAAGTAAAACCATTCTTTTAATAACAAACTTACTGTTTTACTAGCTTGGCTTTATGATATTCCTCTATCCATATAACTATGATTTTTATTGTTCTTGACAAAATATTTCATTTTACACATGTTACTTTCTAGTTTTCACTTGCTTATATTTTACGAAGACAGATAATGTCTGTAGAGGCGGATTGTGTTACTAAAAGCGTATGGTCTTACTAGGTATATTTTGTAGTTTTACAAAGGCGTACGGTGTTACTATACTTCTGTAGGATTGCATACATATTTCAACTTATGTTTATAGTTTTCATTTATATATTACATGCGTTTCTATAGGTTGATAGTGTTACTAACACATTTAACTCACTGCTGAAAAGTTTTATCACATCAAATGGTTTTATAAATATCTAGTGAGAAAGCCGATGTGTTTTTATGAATTAACATATTGATCATAGTTTTCATTTCTTTATTTAATCATATTTTTTGCATTTCCTGACGTTTTATATGTAAAATGCTTTCTCTTCTATAATTAATTTATAACATCCTGAAAAGGACGGTCATTTAAATCTCACGCTTAGCTTTGTAAGTTGATCACTAAAGTTTAAAGGATTGTAGAAATTATTTGTCGAGAGCTTACTTTTTTGCTGATTGAAACTAACAACATATAGCAGTTATTTCCATTTCTATCTGAAGGTCATTAATTTAACCATTTTGCTACAACTAAATATAAAAATGAATGAATTTACTGTTTAACTAATCATTTTAGTATTATGAAAAGTATTTAAAATAGCAACACTTACCATTTTTCTATACAACATTCATTTGAAGTACAAAATATACTATACAATTAAAGTTTTAAGGTACAGATATAACCCAACTTTTCTCCATAAGTTAATCAAAATATCTGTAACAATGCATATAGACATTCTTTTAGTTTCTATTTGTGGGCCACTAACACCATGGATACAATTCACTCTGACTCATTGTGACGTTTTCAGCCTAAGGCCAATGAGTCTAACTAGCTTCAAAACAGCTAAGCTGACACTGTAAATAAAGGACATTGAAATATATTTACGTTATATTGAAATAGTTTTAACTTCAGTTGTTCAAATTTAAAATAATAGATGTTTCTCACATCTATTCTTTTATGTTTGTAATGTTTTTGCTATTTATCTTTAGAGATTATACTTTACAACAAAAAACAAAACTAAAGTCATGACACTTTCAAATGTATATACTTGTTGACAAATCAGAAATTCTATTATACTATAACAAACTTACTAGATAACACGAATAAACTTAGTTTATAAACGATAATGTATAATGCTTGTACTTTACAACAATCGGTCAAAAGTTCAGGCTGTGTTAGTCAGTATTTTTTTCATAATGAACGATCGATTCAGTTCTACTTTAATATCTACTTAGACATATGAAGTGTATGAGATTTCATTATACACTCGAATGGTAACAATCCGGATAGTGTTTGGTCACAAGTTCAGTCTACAGTTTAATTATTATTATTTTAAATACCTCGTGTTATAATGTTTCAAAACTAGCACATATTTTGAAACACCTAAAAATCTGTGTTACTGTATATCCATAAAATGTTTTCAAATACTGTATGATGAGATCATTGACAGCTGTATGACAAAGATCAGTACTGAGTTCATCAAGTCTATTTCACAATGTACACTAAATTCAAAAGTCAGTAAAGATAGTGATACAAAACACTAAATGTGCATTCAATATTTGATGGGACATTTCAGTTAGCATACAATTATCGTTTACTTTCTATTCAATTAGACTCCATAAACTGATTATTCACGTTTATTATATTTAGTTATAGTAAACAAAACGGTTAGGTTAATGACCATTTGATAAAAGTGGATAGTTCTCTTAATGTTGAAAACTAAGAAAGTAAGATTTTCTATAATAGTAATCCTTGAAACTTTAGCAATAAACTTATAAAGGTAAACACGACTATAAGCATCCTTTTCAGAACAAATAGATGTTAGTTATAGAAATGGAAAATGTCAGGAAATTCAAAAGTATGATTAAATATAAAAGCCAAACTATCATCAGTATGTTAACTCATAATAACAATCGGCTTTCTGATCAATATTTATATAAAACATTAGATGTGATAAACACTTTTCAGCAGTAAGTTAAATGTGTTGGTAACACTATCAGCTTGTAGAAACACATGTAATATATAAATGAAAATTATAAACACAGTATGAGACAAGTTGAAATCTATATTCAATTCCATGGAAGTATAGTAACATGATGCACCTTTGTAAAACAGACACACGCAATATGCCTAGTAAAACCATCTGCCTATAGAACTTTAATAACACCATTAGCCTGTGTAAAACATAAGTATGTGCAAACTATAAATTAACTGTCATAGGGCATATAATTAAATCTCGACATTGATGACGTAATCCAGGCTCGTACAAAGAATGTTTGAAAGAGAGTTTCTAATTTGTGAGATCAAAAGCCAACATATATTGAGTGAGGCACAGTCAGCATGTTAATGCTACGTGGGTCTGGAGGCATATCCCTCAGAAAATTTGTAAAAAAATATGTGCTTGGAGATTAAATTTCGAAGCAACTTTATATGAAATATAGCTTAAATAATTGCATGACTGTTCACATAAAATCCACAAACATCCAATGAAAAGTCAACAAATCATCATTCTGTTGCAACACTGCATTGGGAGCTAGACTTACATTAGCATAAATATGTTTTATTATAGTAAAGTACTGTACTATCTACATGCAGGGTAATTACTAATTGTTAATTTATATTACTATAACTATATAAGCTTGTTTGTTTGTAGTTAAGCACAAAGCTACACAATGGGTT